TTTTTTTTTTTTTGTGTGTTTTTCTTCCGGGTTTCCAAAGTTGTTACTTGCACGAGTTTGTTTTGTAAAAAAAATAAAAATCAATGTCAGTTTTTTTTTTTGTGTAGAATAGAGTGCATCCCTGTCTGGACTACAGATGCCAATGGGTCTCAAAAAAAAAATAAAATCATTTGGTTGCAGACAGGCGATCATGACACTATGAAATGAGTTGCTCCTGCAGTCGCCAAGAGTTTTAGACTTTCAGTTGATTTTTTAAAGGGGAAGAAAAAAAAAGAGTTGGTAATTTGGTAGTCGATTCAAGGGCTTCAGGAGGAGAGGAGGGAGGATCTGGCTTCAGGCCAGATATGCACTTTGACTCGGGGGAGTTGTCAGAATCTGGTCTCATCTTTGAATCAGGGGGGCGTTTACCTAGGGATGGGGGTTGGAGGCTATAGATGGGGTTCTAAAATTTAAACTTTAAACGGGTTTACACAACCTTACAGGGAAGAGGGAGGAGGAGAGGAGGGGGGGGGGGGGAGATATGCCAAACGTCAATCAATTTCGGGAAATTCACACTCACACAAATCTTGATTGGACGCATCTCAAACTTGATTGGCGTACGTATGTGTGCATGCTTTCATTGCCTATTTGATGGGACCGATGAAACCTTATGTGCACCACTGTCTTCACCCGAGTACAATGTACGTGCGGTATTGCTGTATCGAGACTCGGGGATGACCGTCCATTGTATTCGGGTGAAGGCGGTAGGGCACCGTATGACCAACTAGGGTGCCTTGCTGCCTGGAGCAGCATGCTGATTGGATTTTTTAAACAAACAATGATAATGACCGGGCGTTCTATTCCGGTGAAGATGGCAAGGCCTTTATACCAGGTCTGTTGCCTCAAGAAAACTGCAAGGAATAAACCAAATTGCGAAATCACACAGCTGTCCAAGTAGTCGTGTCCCAAGCAGAGAGTACAAATGCACCGAGAAAACCATCCATATAGAGCAATAGAATGAAGTAATGAGCCAATGTTCAAGCCCGTAGGCCACACCAACACAGTATCTAAAGTCGCTCTGCTCTGTCTGCCGCTCAGCGCCCAGCCTACTCTACCCGACTATCCTACCTACAGCTGGTTCACACAACAGGATCACTTCGACTCACGAAGACCAATGTACATGACTGCCAACACCATCGCCGACCTCTCTTCATGTACCAGGTACGTATCTCGTCACCCTCAATCAGACCTTGATTACCCCACACTCGCCTCCTTCCTTGAAGACCACTCAATCGCCCGCTTACCCCCTGGCGCCCAGCAGCCCGGCTATGGCGGCCTGCGCCCCGCTGCCCTGCAGCACCCCACTTCACCTCTACGCGCCCCGTCAGCGCCCTTGGCAGCAGCGCAGCATCAGGCGAGAGCGCAGCAGCACTTCCGCATTGCCAGCACTGGCCAGAATGCCTGGCCTGGGCTGCCTCACTCCTTTTGTGGAAGTGGCTGCCTCCTGGATGCTGCGTGTGGCCTGGCTGGAAGCTTCCAGTAGCTTCCGGTTGGGTCCCAGACCCTGCACCCAGGCCCGAGACTACAGTTGAGGGCCTGGGCCCTTTACAGTTAGGCACAGCCTGAGTCTCTGGACTTGGGCTGTTCGCTGCATCTGTGCAGGGCTCCCAGGCAGGTGCGTCGGCACTACTGCTTTTGCCAAGGCCGAAGGCCTGCTTCCCAATGTATCGACCCTGCTTTGTGTATGTGTGCCCAGGCGCAACTGTCAAGGCCTGGGCCAACTGTATGACGCAGAAATGTGAGGCTCACGCGTCTACCCAACCAACTGGCGTGCTGCGAGAGCCTGAATACCCACATATGGAAATGTCGAATTTTGCCTCTGACGAATATTCAGGCCCCCCTTCACTTAGGGCGGGCACTTTGGCTTGCTGGGGGCCTCAGCCCAGAACAATGTGATGTCTGATAGGGCCCCTTGAGGGCTTGTTCCTCACAAAACAATATCGGTCTGGTACTCTGACCGGACTACTACAACTAAGGTCTGGCAAAAAAAAAAAAAAAAAAAAAAAAAAAGGGGAACAAAAAAGAACAGGAGAGAGTCTATCCAGAGGGCGTAGGTTGAGATCCCATGTGTAATCAGCAAAACTGAGCAAAAAACGAACATCTGACAGAACTTTCCTTTTTTAATTTTTTTTCTTTCCAAAAGACTTAACCACTGTGTTCGGCTCTGTGTCCACTCTGGGGAGCGTCAGGCTGGCTCCTTCTTAGTTACCGGGGGAAAAGGAACCTGCCACAACTTTTGTTTTGGGCCCACAGGTTCTGGGTTCAAATCCCATCTGAGACCCTGATGAGCTCGACAGCGTCGTTGGTAAAAAGTAATTACTGTTAGCAATTAGTTGCTTAAACAGGTCCTTATGGCCCTGGCTCCATTTCCATTCTGGGGGGCATCAGTCCGGTTTCTATTCCATCAGCAAATCCTGTAAAAAAAAAAAAAAGATTAAACTGTGCGTTGCTCGGTAAGCTTATCGATTGGTTTGTGCTACATGCTCATAACTTGTCTGGCAGGTTCTTCCAAAAGCGTGCGGACACACAAAGGCGAAAGGAGTGGTGTCGAGAGAGGAGGCGGTGATGAGGGTTCGAGCCGCAGTGGATGCGCGTGCAGAATGTGATGGCGACATTGTCATTTTTGCTCGCTCGGATGCTCGCCAGGCTGTGTCGTTTGAAGAAGCGTGAGTCATGGACGATCTCTTTTGTTTCTTTTTTCTTTTTTCCTTTTTTGGCTTTTATTTCTATACCCCCAGAGTTACCAATACTACGACCTCATCCATTATAGGGGCAGGCAGACAGGTAGCACTGGACACTGTCTTTTTATCTAGAACCATCTGGATTCGAACTCAGGTCTGGATCTCAACAGTTCATGGGTGTACTGTGTCAATTTGCTAGCCTCGCTGCACTACACAACACTCTACATGCATTTAGACAGCCCTCTGGACCCTATACATTCAATGTGTTGCACTCGTCCAAATGCACGTGGTCCAGAAAGCGTCCAAATGCATGTAGTGTTCGTTGGTGGAGTGATCCCCCATGTCTTTGTTCTTAGGAAATCTAAAGATCAGACCGAGGCGGTAGACGGTAAGAATTAACTTGGTGTCGGATTATTTAGTCGTTATTACAAATTTACGAAAACCTAGACGTATGCATAGCTCAGCAGGTCCTGCTTCTCAATCTTTTGCATCATCTTCTGTCATTTCCTCGGCTCGTGCCCGTTGCAATACCTCAGCTTGAAACACACACATGCAATAGTCGTGAGCCATAGGTCGTCACTTCGGTCTAAGGGCCGAATCAAGGGCCAAAGGCCACACCCGAGTCATGGAAAATTGCCTGAACCAAGGCCTGCTGCTGTGGGTGCACGAAGCCAGGCCTAAAACTGGGCTTCAGAGGCCCAACGTGCGACAGTTGACCGTGGAAAGTCAAAGGTCAACAGCAGCTCGGAAATTCAGGCTTACGAGTCAAAGTCAACATGGACCCAGCCCAGGCCACCGATCAGACACACACACTTGGCTGTTTGCAGCAGGTATCTGTCGAGAATCCAGTCCAATTTGGAATCTGCAACTGTATGAGATCAGGCCATTGACTGGCGGTCAATCTGGGCCATCGTAGCCGAGAGACCAGAGGCTGGTCAACGGGAGTCAACACTATATGTTGCCCCAGCCCCTGCTGACCGACAGTCAATCTTGCACTTGCTGCTTGACACTGGCTTGACGCTGGCTTGATGCTGGCTTGACGCTGGCTTGACGCTGGCTGGACGCTGGGTGGACGCTGGCTGGACGCTGGCTGGATGCTGGGTTGATGCTGGCTCAGCGCTGGCTGGGTGCTGGCTTAATATTGGATGACGACGCGAGACTGCTACTGCTTAGCGCTGGCACCATTCTCTGTCTTCGGCGCCAGCTCTCTTCTTGATTATGCTGACGTGGCTCTCGCCACACTGTCTACCACATTGACGGGATATTGGCGAGGAGGAGGAGGATCAGGGCTGTGAGATTGGTCGAGTGAAGAAAGGAGAGCTTACCTGTTCACGATCGTGTCGACATTGCGCTCTGCTGTTGTCTTCAGAAGGAGTCTGCGCCGTGTGCGCCGTGTTGAGATCTGTCCAATGTCAGTGTGTGTCAGAGGAAACTGTCTGGTGACATGGCGAGTAGGAGATGCCGGAAGGAGGAGTGGGCCAAGAGGGAGATCTATATGCTGAAGCTGATGGTTACTTCCTCTTCCACCCTCTCAGTCTAATCTCCCTCTCTTCACTCTCTTCTGACATTGGACTCTTGATTACTTGTACAATTGGAGACATTGAACCTGCGCTGAGACATTCTGTACTTCGACATTGTTGAGCTTTCCTCCTGACTTTTTTTTTTTCCCCTTCCCCTTTTCCATTTCCGAGGAATAAGGCCCCTCGCGACAGCCCCAAAGGCCTAGGCTCACACCCCTACAATTTCTAGCCGGCTCCAGGGCTGTGGGGGTGGTTTTTCCTGAGCCTGGCGGGCCTTTTCACGATCTGAGCCTGCCTGGGCGGTGTGAACGGGGCCCGCTTTTTCTTTGAGCATGTGCCAGGACGCCGACATGTCAACCACAGCCTCCAGCCAATGAGATTGCCCGAAGCAGCAGCAGCCACGTCGCACAGCTGTGCGACCGTAACTGTCGGGCCCAGGGCCGGTTCCAGAAAGGCCCTGGACGTGCAGACCCTGGGCCCGGAGGTGAGGCGCGAGGGCACACGGCAGGCGGCATGGCCTAAAACTGGGCTTCAGCCATATAGGAAAGTGCACGCAGCCAGGCCAGTTATTCTGGCTGGTGCAACAGGCATAAGCCCTGCCACTTGGGAAGGTGGACAGAGGGCGCTGGCTGGGGTGCACACCGGCGCTTGGGAGGAGCACTGTCTCTATCACCTCTGCATGGCGACCATAGCCTGGTTGTGCACACTGATTGCTTGCCAGTGGGGAGAGAGAGAGAGGGGTCTTCAGGCCAGGGAAGACGATCTGTGGGGGAAGTGAAGTGAGTGAGCGAGAGGGAACAGACACGTAAATGATGTGTATGAGGTGGTCTGCATGGGCGACTTTGGTCATGTACATTGGTCTTCGGCTGGAAGTGATTCCTGGTTATGACTGCCTAGGTTAGGCTACCGTCTTCACCCGAATAGAACCCCCGGTCATTATAGCCGTCGTATTTTCAGTCCAGATACAGCTATAATGACCGGGCGTTCTATTCGGGTGAAGACGGTAGTATAGGTGCTGAGTAGTAGTAGTAGGCTGCGCCCTGGGTGCTGGGCGCTGGTCTCCAATTGAGAAGCGCGACATTGGGTACTCTGTGAGGGTGGCGAATCAGTGGCTGACGTTGACATTTGAGTTCATTGCATTGCGCTCTTATTTGGCTTGTAACTTGGTGCATGCTACTGCTTAGACCAGCTTGGTACACGACTATCTGGTCTTCAGTGTGATGTTGCAAATTTTTTTTTTTTAATTTTAAATTCATAAATGTTGTCTGATGGACCACAGACAGATCAGAAGATAATTAAACCTACCAGATTCATTGGAACGGATACTACACTTTATCTATTTTTACTATTTTTAGCCAAAAGGCCCAAAAGGCAATTTGGTTTTCTGTCTGTCGGTCTCTGGCTCATTTTGCTTGCAGCTTCCCTTTTTTAACCTCCGCTTTCATCTTGTCTGTCCCCTTTTGCTTTCCTACATTTTCCCCAACCTTTCTCTGTTTTTCTCTAGGAATTTCTGTTTCTTCAACTTCCACCGCCCCCCCCCCCCTTAAATTTAAAGATTAAACTTTCAACTTTAAACGGCCGTTTTTTTTTTTTTTTTTTTTTTTTTTTTTTGCTTTTTTTTTTTTTTTTTTTGAAAGCGTGTTGTCTTCTCCTCATATGGGGGGGACAACTATATTCACTGCGCTATTTTTCTTCTCTCAGTGTTTTCCACCTCACACTAGCTGCTCACATACCCCGTGCTGTCTACCCTGGGCAGACGTCGACTCAGCAAAAGGTCTGCATCTCCTCCAACGAAGCAAGGGCATCAATGAATTTGTTTCGTCCGCGTGTGCCCATTGCAGTTCGGCGGCAATTTGTTTCATCCGTGTGTGCCTATTGCAGTTCGTCCACGTCGGCTTTTCTTGCCCATACAACTTTGAAACCTGCCGCATCCACACTTGTTTCTATTTTATTTCATTTCTGCAGTTCATCTGGATTCGAACTCAGGTCTGCATTTCAACAGCTCATGGGTGTACCAACTGAGTTGGCTCTGTGCTGAGTTTTGTCTGCGGCATCCACCTTCTCTGCTACTTCCTGTGTGTGGCTTCTTCTCTGCTGCTTCCACATTCTCTGCTGGCTCCTCTGCGCACGGGTTTCTCTCTGCTCCCCCCCCCAAAAGATTTCGACCATTTCTTGATTTATGCGTGTCCATCCTTTCGCAGGGCCCATGCTCCTCTTCTTTCTCCGTATCGTTCCACTGTTATCGGATGTAGGCTTTGTCATGGCTGCTTCTTCCGTGCGGCTTTCTCTCTGCTGCTTCCAACTACCTCTGCTACCTTCTTTCTCTGCTTTGGCCTGCACTGCTTACTGTTCCCTTGGCGCCTCATATATATGCTACCTCCTCCTCTCCTACTCTGTCTGATGATGCTGGCTCTTCTGCTCCGTTCCCCGCTTTGCTGATACAGAGCTCTGTGTCAAATTTGACTGCTTGTAAAGCTTTTTTTTAAATTTTATTATTATTATTATTATTAATTTTTTTTTTTTTTTTTTTGGCTTGCTGTGAAGGTTGCTGTCAGCTGCTGCATGGGACGTGGATGTGTCGGTGCGTTGAGAGCTCGGTGCCTGGTCAGCGGAGTGTTGCTGATGAGCAATGAATGAAAAAAATAAAATAAAATTAAAAATGCTCAGCGTGCAATCTCCTCCGAAGCTAAGGGTGCTGGTTCGATATCAGATGGATCTGAGGCCAGAAAAGTACTGATAGTCTGATTAGTAATTTTACTAATTTACCTGTTGGATGCTAGGCATTGCTAGCTGAATGTCTGCGGCAGCACATTAAATGCTTGTTTGTTGATTGTTCACTGGAAGCGCAAAGGCGACTTTTACGACTTTTACTTTACTTTGTCTTGTTTGTTTCAACTACTGCAACTAGGGCCTCCTTCCTATGAGTCTGAGCTTTTGTGTAGTCTCCCAACCCTGCCAAATGTATAAGCACAATTAAGCCTGTACACAGCCCTTAATGTCACCAGATAATGAAGGAATTACTAGAGATGTGAAGGGTTAACGTTACCCCCTTTTTTTCAACAAAAAAAAACATCTTAGCTACCGTCTTCCCCTGAACACAGCGCACCCTTATTATGCCTGTACTGGACCGGAAAGATAGGCTGTATACCTTCATTATGTGGGTGCGTTATGTTCGGGGGAAGACGGTAGGCAGAATAGATCATACTATATCAGAATAGATCCAGAATAGATCAGAAGTGATCAGAATGGATCTAGAATCGGATCTAGAATTAGATCAGAATTAGATCAGAATAGATCAGAATAGATCAGAATAGATCCTACCAACTGGCCCCTGTAGCTCAGTTGGTACAACCCTGACCTGACCTGAACTGTTGATTGGTACAGACCTGACCTGAGTTCAAACCCCAGTGAGAGCAGATGACTTAAATAGTAAAATAGTAAAAATACTACAATTCTGAATTACGTACCTAGGGCTGGTCAGCTCAACAATGATATCTCAAGGCCGTTGCCCTTGAACAAAAAAGGGGTCAGAAGAGATCCAGAACTAGATCCAGAACTAGATCCAGAATTAGATCTAGAATTAGATCTAGAATTAGATCAGAATTAGATCAGAATAGATCAGAATAGATCAATCCTGATAAGAATAGATAAGATCATAAGAATATTAAGAATAGATAAGAATAGATAAGAATAGATAAGAATTAGATCAGAATAGTGGGGACCGCACGATGCTGGGTATTGCATCTCACGGATTACAGGGTGTGTGTTTCGCCATAACGAACAGATCACTTGCAGCATCGCCCTTCTGGCCATCCGCCCAGGATGTTAGCCATAGCCAGGAGGAGGAGAACGATGAGGAAGAAGAGGAAGAGGAGGAAGAGGAGGAAGAGGAGGAGGAGGAGGAGGAGGAGGAGGAGGAGGAAAATAAGAAAAAAAATCTCCGAAAAAAATAGAATTTGTTTCATTCCCTTTCTTGCTCATCAATCTATTCTTGTGGGAGATGCTTATGCATATGTTGCATTGCAATCACAGGTTGTGGAGAGTTCAGGCTTTTGCCGACGAGGGGGCGGATGTGGTCTTCATTGATGCCCTTGCTTCGGTGGAGGAGATGCAGACCTTTTGCCGAGACGTCTGTCCAGGAGTACCGAAAATGGTGAGTGGGGTCCTATCAACTGCAAACATTTCCAAAAAAAAGGGAAAGAAAGGAAAAGAAGAAGAAGAAGAAAAAAAAAAACTTCCTGTGCCCTTTCAGAGAAAAAGGCTTCATGTGCCCTTTGCAAGTGACCGAATGGGGTACACACGTGTCCCTGTTAGTAAACAGATCGTGAGTTCAAATCCTGATGAAATCAGCCGAACTAGCCTGAATACGAATGAAGTTAGGGGCTACCCTTATCATCAATGGTTAGGGGACTCTGCAAACACAACTGGGGTTAAGTTGGATTACCACTGCACAGTATCATATATGGGTTTTCAGTCTTTTGACTCTTGAGGGGACTCTGCAGACTGTAGATAGTTCAGCCTCCTGCTGAATCGGATGGTGAAAAACTTCAACCAAACAGTCTGTTGCAGCACCCCTTTCCTTGTCCTTTACTCTCTCTCTCTCTCTCTCTCTCTATATATATATATATATATGCCTACGGTTTACCGGGCAGTTCTATTTGTGACGATATATACTACGAGTTCGCTAGCTTCCTGCTACGTTTTTTTCCGGTCAGGTCGAGCGGCAGTGGTCGGGGCCGTTACTAGGCGGCCATGCTGTGCCTCTAGTGCCAGCGGCGTGTCTGGAGTGTATTTTTTGGCTGTGACAGACCTTTCTTTGTTTCGTGG